GAGAGAGATTATGTGGGCTGAAATTCCCTGGTTTGAGTTATTTGTTGGGAAAGTATCCTATGAATGTTGAGGTGCTGTTGGAGTGAACAATCTTTCAAGTGTCTATAAGTTCATGTGTGCACAAATACAACTGAATGAATTTGTGTTGGTTATTTCTATAATTTTGAACATGATTGTTCCTCACAAGTAAATAACTTACATTGGAAAATTTTATTATGTTTCCATTAACAGTGTAAAACCTTACACACACATTGAAAATGCTTCTATATTTACCAATAAATGACAATGTTAACAAATTTTAAAAATAGCTATGAAGATATTCCTACCATGTCAAAAACTACCCATATCACAGTTTGACTTTTGCCATTTCCAATCACTGTTTTATTGGCAATAAACAGATTAGACAAAGTCTCTGAAACCTTCTTCATAGCTTTAATTGCTTACCACAGTATTATCAATTACTTTTATTTCTTTGCTAAACTCTGTCTCAGTTGTTTTCTTTCATCCCAATAGGTTTCATTGCTTATTTTGTTGAATTTCAAGAAACCAAAATATTACGTTTAGATATTTACACGTAGCCTGGAGAATTTTCTGCATACTCGCCTGTCTATTTGCCCTATACAGAAGTCAATTGGTACTTCAGGATTAATTTCCATGTGGTTTCTCCATATGTTTACAATACAATATAGTTTGAATGAATAAAAGTTGATGAAAAGACAACTAAGGAACAATTTCAGAAATAGAAACCACATTAGAATAAATGTAGGTATTAGAAAGTATTTAGTTTTAGTATTGTCTTTAACTGCTGTGTCTGTGATCACAAAGCAGATAAACTGTGAAAAGAGAAAACATTAGTGCTCCTACTGAGACCTCCACTAACCTCTTTTCCTGAGAGCACCTCTACTAAATACCCTGGAGCAAAGTCTAGGATCACTTACATTCCAGCAACTCTCACTGGGAATTATTCAATTAAAGGAGCTCTTTCTCCACCCCTTTATTCCCTCCTAGGTTTGAATATACTAAGATCTGGATATACTGTATGTGTGTGCATGCACACACTCACACACACACGTTTGTGCACACACGCACACTGTACAGGTGCCCGCTATATGTTGATTTATAACATTGTTTTTGTTTTATGGTTTTCATAATTAAATAAACTGTTTTTAAACAGCGTACAACATTGTGTGAAATAGAAGATGGAAAGCTTAAAAAAAAGAGGAAAATGTTTTCTTAGAAAGGAGTCCACAAAAGCATTTTGTCCACATTCTACCTAACCCTAGCATTTAACTACTGTGATCTCCCACAGGTTTTACTGCACTGAATGTCTGAAAGAGTTTGCTGAGGTTCACTTCAGAGTAGCTGCTCATGGACAACCATTTGTCTACTGTACTCTTCAGTTTTTTGTAATCCAGCTCTATGTCCTTGAAATTTGACTGTTTCCTGCTCTTCACACAATCTGTTGGAAAGAAAAACAAATACAAAAATCAGAAAAAAGAAAATCACTTTTTCATTTGGTATTGTGAAATTTTCTATCATATCTTAAAAATAAGCTATGGTGTAGGTCTGTTGATTCTCAAAATCTAAATTTGCTGGAGTATCATTCAGGCATTTTTTGCCAAGCATTGTCTATTCTTCCGCCTACCTTTTTGAGAGTGACTTTGGTCAGCATGTTTAGGTAAGTGTCAAACTTGTTACTTACTAAGAGAGACTGAATCCAGCTCATCAAGGAATTAGTCAACCCCCCTGTCATGCCCCAACTGAATTGGTGCAGCACCTTCTGTCAGTGAGTGTCAGGAAGTGCTGTTTGTACATTAATGCTGAATAAGGGGGCGGGGGGGGGGGGGGAGGGAAGGCACAGCAACAAGGGAATGAGTTCTACAGCATCAAAACCAGCAAGTAGCAGCTGCTGTTTTAAGGAGATCCATTTAGAAAGAAGAAACCTATTTTCTGGTACCTTTCCTTTGATTGAATTATTGAAAATATTTTGATGAAAGCAGAAGGTACCCATAAACCTCTATCTAGACATTTGAGATCTTGCTTTGAATACCCACCATAAAGAATACTGGAGTGGTGCAGAAAAGCTTTATCTATTAAGAATTGCACTCTGCCCTCTACCCCAATTCCCATTCAGTTTAAGAAGGAAAAGTCTGTCATTTTAAATGATAGGGCCTGTTCAGAAAATATTAACTATTCCTCTCATACCAATGTATGCCTTTCTAAATGCTGTGGAAGGAATATTTGCAGGATATCAAAACACCTTATACTGTGCATATGTTTTAAAGACTGCAAAAACTCAGTGACAATGACAGCATGTTCCCTGTTTTGCTTAATCCCCCAGAAGGCCTTGCTTTCTGATTTAATCAGACACGCACAAATGCAGTGACATAAACATCAGGCCTTTACAGATCAGGAGACATAATGAAAACTAAGGGTCTGAGGGTCTACAAGCTCCAGTTACTTTTGTACCAGGACATTTAAAGGAACCAGTTTCAACAGTCAGGAGCATCTAATGGAATATAAAGGGGAAAGCCTTCAGCTTTGCTAGCAAACACCTACCTTATGTACCATTGTGCAGACAGAAACATTCCATCTTGAAAGCTTCTACTGATCTAATGTACGTTTAGATCCCAAACTGTGGAACTTCCTTCCTTTATTTTCTTTTTCTTTACTACTAAAAATATGCCTAAGATGGTGTCATTTTCTAGTTGCCATCATGGCATCCATTCAGTCAAGCACACTTCTGCCTTAAGATCTTTTTCTGCTTATTCTTATTAATGTATTTCCTCATCTTGTTTCTTGTGTACATTTTTTTTGTGTACATTTTTGTTACTACCATTTTTGCATAGATGGTACTCACGTATATTTTCCAGTACCAAATCTTTCTCCTCTTTGTTTTGCTAATTTTGTGTCTGTCTTCTGGCAATTATTCCAAGTTGTCATCTTACTCAAGTTGTTTACTAAAACAGTTTCTTATTTTGCTCTTGGTCCTGCCTCTTGGTTTCTTTAAGCTTTAGTTGGGACTTTTATTCCTTATCCTTATGTAAGAAATTAGATATAGTCTTCTTGACCTCTCCTTCTCGTGCTGGAACCTGTTTTTTTCAACTTGAATATTTATAAAACTTGATTTTTTTTGGCTGATATAATGCTAGAGGGACTCTTTTGCCTTGATCTTCCTCATCTTAAGCCTCTTATTTGGCTGTCTTTTTATACTTTATGGTCATATTTATCAGGTTTTTATTTTTGTTCATTAATCTTTTCTCACTTATTACATTTTTATTAATTGCGTTTAAAGAAAAAATGTAATCCAAAGGAAGAGAATGTATTCCTTATTTCTTCCTGGCAATTCAGGATCCATTCCTAAACCCATCTCCCTTTAAAAAGAATCTCAATGCCCATTTAGTTTAGCTTGATTTTGTTTACCAGATTTTCTTGTATTAGCTCTGTGGATTGTCTCCACCATTACCTCCTGTTTTCCAGTACTCCTCCCCCTCTTTTATGCATTGTCTTACTAAGATTGTAAGCCCATGGGGAAAGACACCTTTTTGCATTTGTACAGCACCTAGCATTTTCTTAGGTGTTTAATAATCATAATAAAAATACACAAAGGAATGCACAACTCAAAACTCATCACTAAAGTAGTCCCCCCACATTATGTTCATTGTGCTTAAGCAATGGGTGGGATCCAAAATGACCTCTGCAAAGTGCTTCTTCAGGCATATGGAAGTTATGTGCCAAAATTCCGTTTCAGTGACAGTCTCTTGAGCTTCATGGGATGCTGCTTTGGAGAACCTTCAAACTTGGTGGGCATTTGGGGGCAGGAAAGGCTGCTGTCATGAGGGGAGCTGAAAAGCTTGGGTCCAGTCTAGCATATTCACACTGACCTCTCTAAAACAAGCATTGCCTACCCCCCCATCCCACTGCTACAATTTCAAATTAAAAGGAGAAATGACCAAAGGAATAATTTAAATAATCAAATATGGAAATATCAGATTAGTAGAATACAGACATAACATTGAATTAACAAAGGGATAACTTTTTATTCTGAAGTATAAAGTGACAAAGAGATATACACTACTTAATTCACACTGCAGCCCTATCTGCAGAATAGAAATACTATGTATTTGAATGACAGGAGTGCATCTGATGACTGGGGAGAATAGATTTAAAGAACTGTAGTAATATAGAGCTGGGAAGATGAGAGAGGACACAGCTCCTGATGTGTTTACCTCCTCTGCTGATGGGATATTGACTTTTCCCACCAGGTTGGTTAGAAAGGGGACTATTTGCGCTGCCACACAGCAGAGTAAGAATGACAACCAGCATCACTCTGTGCTCTTCTTAGTAAAAGACAATTGTGACCGCTGTATATCACACAGCCAGTCAATACCTTCAGGTTACCATACCATCCAACTTAGAGATGCATGTAAAAGCTCACTTCTTCTTCCTCAAATGAAACTTTAATCAATAAAGCAGTTAATCCTTTCTGAGAACAAAGTTGTAATATTATAGAAATAACTTGTGGAATGGTTAGATATATGTATGCAATACAGTTTTATACCAACTACAATAATGGCTTCATTTCACAAAATTTTACAGAACTATTCATTTATAATTTTAATATAAACTAACATTATACAGACATGTATCTGAAATATGATCAGTTTTTAAATATAAACTGGGGAAAAGTCCAGATAGGAACAGATCTACAAAAGAAACAGCTCCTGATAATCACCAATTACACAATAATGAGCAGGATAGGGTATTTTCCCCACTACCCTGAACACAGCTATTAAGTTCTTCAGTACAAATTTCTCACCCTAAGAGTTTCTTCATCTATATTTTAGAAAAAACTTTGCATCTTAAATTTAAGAAGGGCCTCCTTTTGTAACTGGCTCCAGAAACTAATAAGGTTATTCTGATAACTGAAGGTAGATGGAATCTGTATTGTGCTGATTTAAATCTTGTCTTCACTATTTGCTTCAAGGGCTGTCTTTTCCCTTACAAAAATTGTACACAGATAACCTGAAAACAGAAACTGATTTTTTTTGCTTTACTTTGCTTGTATGGAAGATTTTCATAGCTTATATTTACTTAGTGAACAACAGGTCTTTTCATATTATTAACTGGGACTAATTTACTGTGTCAGCTTATCTGGGTTATATTAATGTCTAACTTGCATATGTATGTCCATGCACATACTTTGTGCAAAAATACAGTGCAATAAGTGGACTTTCAAAGTGATAGCTTGACAACACACACACACACAAGCTAGCATATCCTATTATACTTGTGCCTTAAGAATTCAGTACATCATTCATATTCAATTCTCTTGCTAACAGTTTTATTTGAAGACTTAAAGAATATGCTAAATTAGAAACCATTAGGAACTGAATTTTTTTACTTCACCTACTGGTTATTGTATTTTAATTATAGCAAGCATAGGCACACAGGCAGCAGTCTCTGTTCTAAATATCTGTTTCATTTATTTCTGTGCAAAGGTAGCAAACAACAGTCAGTCATAATTGGTTCTGTCAGATGTTATACAGTCAGTCATAATTGTCTCTGTCTAGAGGTGTGTCAATTTACAGCAAGTTAAATAAATATTCTGTCAATTATGAAATCAGTTAAGGCAAGTCTTTTTAATTACATGGGTTCCCCACTTTATAATAACACTGCACCCTTATCCATGGTGTTAACTTTACCTTTGGCTTTTCTACTATGTCAATACAAAGGAAAACACAACTAGCAGCAATACAAAGAGATGAGGCAAAATGTAGCAACATTAATGTCAATCTATTTGATTAACATAAATGATATTCCACCATGTAAAATCTCTGCCAGACTACCAATTTATAGACATTGGCCAAACAAGGGTTGCAACCAATTTTAAAGATACAGTACAGAAATTATCTAAATAAGTACACATAATGTATTTAACATCATTATAACTTCCACAAAATGCATTCAAAATCCTATCTTCCATTATTAACCAACTTTTGCCGATATGGTTTTCTAGGTAAGGAATGCTTTCTATTTTTCTGACTGGAAAGCACCTAACATACAATAAGCATCCAAATTTCTAATTCTTCTATACTGTCCTGTAGTATTTTTGACACTAGAAAGTGCTTAACATAGGAAAATTACCTGTCTTACCAAAGCAACCAAAACAAAACCCTTCAAACAAAGACCACTGACACTATCACTGATGGCTGCTGAAGTCCACCACCATTATCCTGCAAACAAAATCCCTTTTGCTTAAAATAATTACCATCACTTTTTTGCTGATACAAAAATATAGCTTCTAGACTGAATAAAAAATGGGGTCTGAGTAGTTTATTACAGTGATCTCACAAATATTTAGAAGTGTGATTATGATTCCATTCACTATAGGTCTAGTTCAGATTCAAATCCACACAGGGAGCCATTTTCCCCCGCTATAGGCCAGTGCTAGGGAAA